CCCAAATTTTTTCCCGGGGGGGCCACAAAATGGGTCCCTTTTTGGGGCGGGGGCGGTTTCGGCGGGGGGGGGGGGGGTTGTCTTTGAAACTGTCGAGCTGCGAGGGGGGCCAGGATTACGGTCGACGACATATTCGCGTTTTTAGATCGGTTTTTACCCAGAATGCAAATGGAAAAAACCGTAAGCGAAACGGTGACTGGGACTAGTATATATTCCATTGAGGAAGTTTCATGTTTGCTCAAAAGCCCCCTGGTGGTTGAAGAAAAATCCACATATAAACCGGAAAATACAATATATGTAAAAAAAAACACTGAATACTCTCTGGTATGAGGAGGCGGGCCCGATCCGGTATTGTTCAGGGGGCCGGACCAAATGAGGTGGCGGGCCGGATCCGGCCCGCGGGCCGTAGTTTGGGGACCCCTGCTTAAAGGGGTTGCCAAGTGGGGGCCACAAATAATATTGGGAGATGTACCACAAAGCCACAAGCCAGAACAGAATGTCAGGAGATTCAGTTATGTTGCCATTAAATACAAGGGTTCCAGAGGGAGTGGTCGGCCAATATCGAGGATAAAAACACCTACCGTAAGCTCAAATCGATAAATTCATGGAGCGAAATATTGTGAAGCCTTAAAACAGGGTTCCCATTAAAGGAGGCTATGAGTTCTCTACACAACCATCCACACCCCTCTCCTTTCTCCATTCAAACCCGTCTGGTTACATCAAACAACACTCACCAGTCTCGCAAAAGCCTTAAAAATCTGTTGCAACATTTTTTTTTGTCCTTTCATGTCATCATTCCTATTGGTGGCACCTATACTCTCTAATTGAGCCAACCTACAGTTACAGCAGAACTTGTAGCTTCTGGAGGCTTGGGGGCTCCTGGCACACCTGAAATCTCACATGACAAATTCATAATTCTACTAGTTGTAAATCCAGAATCCACAGAGGGGAAAAAAAAAAGCAATGAAACTGCCTTTTTTTTAAATGACAGCTTATCCATTAGTACCTCAGAAACCGGAACGATCAAAGAATTGAACAAGGACTTAATACGTAACGTAGCAAATCAAGTATAAAGGTCATCATCTAAATTTGAATCAATAGAAGAAAACCTTTTTTTTTTATTAATTTATTAATTCAATCCAATGGTAAAGAAATAAAGTCCTGAAACTACTATTTCCATAAACAGTTTTCTTCTCTCCAATGATAAAATCAACAGGCCAGAATAATTTAAAAACAACATTTTGGACATTTAGAATAAACTGATACTGTCTGAGACGCAGAAATTGCAGCCAATTATCTATACCCATTATAGCGTAAAGCAAGTACACTTCAGTGTAGGTCAAATCTAGTCTCGATGCAGATCTGTTAATTATCAACACACCTCCACTTGGTTTCCTCCTTTGGATAAAAACAACTAGGTTGAGAGTGATGAAACATAAAGAGAAGGATGGGGTGGCAGCAGTAAGCCAAAAGGATCTGCAACTGTAGTTTCCATGGCAACCTAAAACTTCCCACGGCCCGAGTGCTTGTTCAGCAGAAGAGACTGACGCTTTTCTGGATGGGATCTAATAGCCTCCATGCTGTACGCATGCCCTGCAAGAAAATAGCTGGAGATTTAAATTGAAACTTGTTTTTTTTTTTTTTTTGCGGTTTTCCTCTAGCATTCACCTCAGGTTGTCTGTGTCTTGCAGTTCTTTTTGGACATCTGTTAGAGGCGAGATTGAATGTGTATTTTTAACATTTAGAATTTATTTCGCAGAAGCTAAGCTTCATTAAAAAATTTTTAAAAAAGAACGTATTTGCAGAAGACTCGGCTCAGCCTCGGTCTTTCCTGATCCTTTGGCCGTTTTCTAGGTCGTGCTCCTCTCTCTGCCTCACAGCGTCTGATGTGTGAGCTGCCGCTGTCCGTGAGGTTGTGTAAGCAGTTTCAGGGCAGCACTGTTCCTCCCTGAATCTCTTGCCCTTGCTGGCTCTCTCCAATGCAGTGCTCTCTCACAGACGTGCACATCTACTGACACATTTGCAGAAACATAACTAAGCATTTGCCAATAAAGGAAGTTTTCACTTGGTTGAAATATTATCAAGCTGTCCGTGAAGATATATTTTTCAAATAAATAAATAATTATTGCTGTGAAATAAATATTCATTCAGATTCCAATTTGGATAAAAAAAAAAATGACACTGAAATGGCAAAAGGATGCGATTGCGACTGATTCAGCTCCATTTGTCTGCGTACCTCCCAGTTTCATATAATCCGTAATCCTTCAGACATTAAGAACAGCAGGAAGAATTGTAATAAACTATTTATTCCATCATATGATGACACACATTAACCGATATAAGTTATTCTGATAGTTACATCCAAATGAGAAGCAAATATTTCCCCTTACTCCGGAGCTTCGGCTGCAACAATCCCCTTGCAGATGTAAAGACAAAGTTCTTGAGTAGATCATATCTCTGTTGTGTTTATTTACATCTCTCTCCTCGTCCTAAACTCTTTACTCGTCGTCACCATGGAAACAGGGAAAGCCCCACATGTTGCCAGGGGAACGAGAGCACAAAAAAAAATAAAATAAAATATGTGACGCAGCTCCGACCCCAGCGTGAACGTGGGTGGATGAGTGCATTCCCTTTGGGTCCCTCTGGACTGGGAAAGCTCTGATCGAGCTGAGCTTTGGGAGAGTCGTTCCGATCACTTGGCCATGTCCTCGGCCACGGCCTTCCCCATTTTATCCTTCAGGTACGCCAGTTTCTGCCACTCGGTCTTCAGCTCCAACCACTCATAGAATGGCACCTTAAAAGGAGGAAAAAGGAATATTTTAAATGCGATATGGTTTTATTTTAGGCACATGGTGACAAGTAAAAGGATGCAGTTCTTGGTCCAAGACAAAGAAACGGGGATTAAACAAATGTAGATTTTTATCTCAGCTTTTCGACACTTTTTATTTGATATCTGCTTATCAGAAAGTCTTATGCAAGCGCTCCAGTCATACCCAGGACGTTTTTATGCAACAGCCAAATCTTTTTTTCATAAATTTGTCAACTTTCACAACTATTACTCAACTTTCAACCTTTAACTGAACTTTCTGAGTCAGCTGGAGCTTTCCTTACACAAATGTATAACTATTGTTGACAACTCTTTAATCAGAAGATTTGATAGCCAGTATGAAGTAGAGCACCACAATATATAAGCTCATAATCACAATATTAATAACTGCAATACTGCCGTAACAAAGGGCAGCTTGGATGCAAAATCTGGTTTAATATCATATTTCAAGCACCATGCAGTCACACTTTGCTTGCAGCTAATATTTGCCAATTGGACGTTCTCTGACTTCTTTCACGGACATCATGTGTATATTTTACTGACTCCGAGGCTAAAGCTCACAAAGTCTTGCAGGATGCGTTTTCCTGATATTGTGCAAGCCATGCCGACCAAGGTTTCAATCAAATTATGGTCTAAGACTTCTGCAATGTTGCTGTTAATGGAAAAGTTGAAATAAAAAGTTTCTGGCCTGGTCTTCAGCTGTTCCTCATTTATTGCTGTTTTCTGTCAGCTAAAAGGCTACCACCCTATTTCCTTGAAACAAGAGACAGCAAGGAAGCACAAAAAGCACAGACTGTTATGGTGTGGAAATTAAAGGAGATCTGACATTTATAATTCAGCTGTGGTCTTTCTATCTAGACAAGCAGTTATGTGAATAAAAAATTTTTCATTCTAGAGCCTGTCAAAATCAAGCCACCGTAACTAATTATCATTTTAGTAATCTACAATACATCTGACAATAAGCAACATGTTGGAAATACTTCCCCCAGACTCAGTCTCATATTTGCACTGAACTGAACTAATCTATAGCAAAACCCTGATTTCTCATACATGCAAGTTAAAACATTTTGCAGAACAGCAAAGGCAAACCGGGGAGGTAAGGAGATTGTCCTAGATGTGACAGAGACAGAGCTTGGATTGGCCTAGATGAGGCAAATCTGTGGCTGGAGCTCTATTTATACCACAGACTGCAGAAGGGCCCACCTGATACACACTTCTAGAAAAGCTTTAGCTCCATTGTGAGCATTTTCTCAACCTGTCAGGCGCAGCTGCAGCAAAACTGTTTGCCTTGCCGCCTCATGATGAAATGTCGCTTTTCACACGGCAAACACAACCAATCCTTATCGCAAGCAGCTTTAGGGTAGACAGACTGCCACAGCCTCGCCGTACCTCCACTAGGATGAAGCCGGCCGACTGGAGATGCCTCTTCATCATGACGAAGCGCCCAAGCAGGTCTCTGCTCTTGGAGCCAAAGTTGGGAAATTCCCAACTCAAAAAAGCTAATCTGAAAAAACGAAAAAGAAAACAATAACTTCAGGCATATAAAGAAAAGGAAAGTGACATGTTTCAGTGATTCTCCTCCAGGACTCACCGCCGTGTCTCTGCAGGTAAATCCTGGGTTCCTCCACCACTTGGTAAATGAGGGGCTTTTAGATTTGTCATGTCGACTGGTTTATTGTCACAATCCACAACAATCTCTCCATCTGATAAAAAAAAGTGGTTTCAAATAATAATAATTAAAAAAAGGACAGTTTATATGGAAAATAATCTCTACAATTGGATATGTTTATTTCCCCCCCAGCCCCTTTACCAATTGTCCATCCATACACGGTGTCAACACCGGTGCGAAGGGCCCCCGTAGTCCCACCAAACAAACTCTGCAACGCCTCTCTCAGACTGCTCTGCAGTTTGGATAAGGACGAGTTAGTAGCTGAGACAGACAGGACACTAAGAGAGGGGACAGCGTCCGAGGAACCGGGATGCTCCAAGACGAGAGTGGCAGCAACGTGCAGTAGCTTCAGTCTGTAGCTCTCCACTCGAGCTGGGCTGCCCTCTACGAAAAAGATAAACATAAAGACAAAGGTTGATAAATTACTTAAAAAAAAAAAAAAAAATGTACAAGAGCAGAAATGTTACAGTGCTATGCTGCCATCTTGTGAGGCAGAGGAGGAATTTGCTGTTCGGCCCCCCAAACACCGAGAGACCTCACAGCTACTTAGATCAGATCTGACAGACGCAAACCTCTCTGGGTGTGATTTAACAAGCTGATTTACTAACACGCACAGTTTGTGTCAGTGAGAGCCTTCTGGGTGGAAATATGAGCTTTTTTTTGCAACATGTGACATTCAGGAGCAGAAGGTAAGCATTTCTATATTGTTTAACAACAGCACAAATCAGACGGATGCTTTTATATTTTGCAACCAACTCCATAATATGCAAGGTGCTTGATTAAAAAAAAAAAGGATAAAAGTGTATTTCTATACAAACTTGTTTGTTTTGAAAAAAAAAAAAAAAAAAAACTTACTTTTAAATAAACTTAAAAACCCCTTCAAAATGTAGGGGGTTTTTATC